AGGGAAACCCTAATTTTGAGGCGGAAAGTGAAGAGAAATGGAAGAAACAGTAGTGGGTCAAAGAAGAAGAGAAAAAGGGAAGGTGGGGTTTCGATCAGCTGTACAACAGGAGCAGAGGAAGGGTGTGTGTGGACGACTATGATGGGATAATGGGGGAAAAAAGAGGAAAAAGGTGAGAACAAAACGGAGTTTTCGAAACGCCGTTTTTCCCCTTCGAAAACGTCAATGATCACAGAAACAAGAAAGGGAAAAAAACGGGAAACTGCTGAAAAAAGGGGTTATTTTCTGGAGGAAGAATTTAAAGAACAGGAAAATCGAGGGTTTTGGGTTTGAAATTTTGATTGGGGAGAGGGTGATGATGATGGAGAGAGATGATCTCGAACAAGGTTGTCATAATTTTTTTCGCAATTTTCTTTTGATTTTTCTCTTAAATTAACACAGAGAGAGAGAGATTCAGAAGAAAATGGAAATGAATTACGGGACGAAGAGAGAGAAAGAGAGCGTGTGAAAGGAAAAAAAAAAAAGGAAAATGAAATCGAAAAGGGTAAATATACGGATAGATGCTCCCAGTTTTCCAAACATGGAACAATTTACAGCTTGGAATGGGCAGTTTGTGGGCACCATCAACAATGAAGACTAGGTGGCTTTTAATTTTCTTATTGCAAGTTACATCTTACAACTAAGATTTTTTACTTTTCTCCTATTAGGGTGCTTGGTGAAGTTTGGGATCAGCTATTATTTGACGTTCGGGCCCATTGACTAGTGGTGATATGGCACATAATAGTAGCTCGGTTTTATATGTGTTGGTGAGTTAGTCCGATAACTATACTAACGACCCAGTTTAAAGGGTAGCAACAACTCGGCTATACAGCTGCATTAGCTCGGCTTACTAGGTATGCTGGTAGAAGTTTAGCCAAATAATCATGTCAGTAGCTCGGTCAAACGGATGCTATAGCAGCTCGGCTAAGGAAGGCTTGTTATAGGCTCGGCCTTATAGTTACATTAGAACCTCGGGCTTATATGAGCTCGTCCCAAGTAGCAACATCAGCTCGCCCAAGTAGCAGAATTGGTTGGAAGCCGAGCAGATGTGACGGTTACAAAAATGGGTCACACGAGACACGTGTAGGATCAGGATAAAAAAGGAATAATAGATCCAACGGAGGAGAAGCAAAGCTTAGGGAACAAGCTAGTAACTTCATATAAATAGGTAAACCATGGGAGGAGGTAAGGTTGCACATTCTACAAACTGTAAATTCTATACACAACTTTCCTCTATCTTCTTCTACCTTCTACTGACTTGTGCGTCGGAGGTTTACCGCCTGGAGCACCTCCCGGCGTCTTTGCAGGTCTTTGAGCGGTCGAGGATTAGAAGGAAGCCGGTTCAAGTGCAGAAGCACATCAATTGGCGCCGTGTGGTGTAACTTAGTTACTCTACTGGTTGCAAGCAAGGTTAAGATGGAAAGACGATCGGAGAGGAGCAGCAGTTGAGGAGGAATTTGGATGAGAGCCTGGAGGGGGTTTGGGTAGCACAAACGCCCTATGGAGGAGGAGCACCGGTGGGCGGATTGGAGGTGAGGGTTCAATGGTTACCTCTCAGGTGACTTTGCAAAGGGTGAACCAGATCTCGGTAGCGGAGCTCAATCGAGAAATAGTGAACCAGCGGAGAAGCCAGGAGGTGATAGTGTAGACACCGGGTCAAGGAGTCGTGCAAGGAGGAGGTGAGCCGGAGATGAGGGTGACCAGGACGGAGTTGGATCGTCTTATTGCGGAGGTGTTCAGTAGAGCTCTGGTTGCGAAAGCACAGACGGAGGTGGTGAGACCAGCTATGGTAGTGGCGCAGCCTGAGCAGGGCGGAGGTCGTTTTGATGGAGGTGTGCTGATAATCAACCTGGTGGTGGAGCAGCATGTTCCGGTGGTGTCTAGGCCATTGGGTGGCGGTAGCCAACGGAGGGAGGAGCAAGAGGAGAGGTCAGTGATGTCTCCGAGGGTTAATGGGCCACCTAGAGACGCGGTGTTGGAGCAGATGGCGAACCAGATTAAGGAGATGCAAGCTAGGTTGGATGGGAGGCGGCTGCCCAGGTTGCAGGGTAATCCATTTACTGAGGAGGTTTTGGGTGCGGGGTTGCCTCAGAATTTCAAGGAGCCTAACATATACTATGATGGATCATCAGAGCCAACTAGACACTTGAGGAGCTTTGAGAATGTGGCGGTGTTGCATCGTTACAGTGACGGAGTGTGTTGCAGGGCTTTTTTGACGACTTTGAAGGGATCTGCTCAGGATTGGTTTCACCAGCTCCCACCGGGATCTGTCTGTAACGCCCCAAATCAGTAATAATATTAAGAATGGTTTCACTGCTCGACTATAAGTGAAATCCATAATTTTCAGAATTTTTCGAGTTATATTTTATATGCTAAATGCTCAAATATAATAGATTATTCTTTAGAATATTCTATATCAAGTTTAAGTCAAGATCAAGATCAATCCATTAATTTGGGTCGATAAGTTATATAATTGACTTTAGAATATTTGGCTTCAAACCCTAGTTTTGTTCCGAGTCATTTTTCTAGCTGATCCCGAGTATAGCCTAGAATTGGTATTTTGATACTTAGAATAATTTTTCTAAGTGTTGGAATGTATAAAGCTCAAGTCTGTGACCCTCATTATCGAGCCTAACACTCACCCGAGCCCGCTCGTACCAAGCCTCGCGCCCGCGCCTCATGCCGCGCCCAAGCGAGTGTCCACCTAGCTCAAGGTCCATCCAAGTCATGGCTATGCATTGCTAAATTTTTCTAAGTGTTGCGAACCTCATTTAAGCCTTAAACGCCTTAGAAGTTCACTCCAAGTCCATTTCCCACGCGCAGCCCGCACAGACCCCGCGCCAGTCCAGGGCCACGTGCAGCCAGCCCGTGCCAGCCCAGCGCCCAGGCCCAGCGCTGGCAGCGTGACAAGCCCACCTTCTTGAGCCCAAATGCAAAGTTTTGACCCACTTCTTTTCAGCCCAATAACATGCGAATATTAAGGATTAATAAGGGTTCAATTCAAGTTAATTAGCCCTAAGAAAGTGATTAGTATAGTCAACAATCATGGGGATTATTTTAATGGTGGTGCATGATGGGCTAATGAATATTTTAATGGCTTATGGAGCCTTTGTCCCCCCACTCTCGTGGCAGACCTGACCTGATTCCCTTTGTCCCCCATTGTGCTCTAAATACCACCTAGAAGACCACCATAAGTCGGACAAAACCACCCAAGACCAACCCCTAACCATGCGCATGGGAAGTGGAGAGATTCCCACTCATTTTTGGTCTTCAACCCTCACACCTTGTGAGCTCCGCCCCTTAGCACTATTTAAGGCTCATTTCTAAGCCATTGTGAGAACTTGACACTTAGAACACTCGCCCATATAGAGAGAATAGAGAGAAAACCGAGAGCTAAGCCAAGCCACACACACGCGCGCGCCTAGACCTGGTGGAGGAGGAACCGAGCCATATCAAGTTCCAGCCGAATTCTCTTAGGTCTTATCACTTTCCAAGTATTCCTTGGATTTTTATAAGTCTCTGGAGTTCACCAAGCTCGGTCAATTCGGCCCCAAGGCAAGCCATACCCCACAAAGTCGAGAGTAGCCTCACCTCAAGCCCTATCTCTCGTTTTCAACTTTTGGTGAAGGTTAGCTCGACCTATCTTTTAACCACAGCTTATTTATGATATTTTAGGATTTTTCGTGTAGAAATATCAAGCCATGCACGTCAATAAGCTCAAGTTCCGAATTTATTAATTAAATGGCCTTAAAAATAATTTTTATTAGCCAGCATACCTAAGTCGAAATTTATAGCTAAATCACCCTCATATATTATGTCATTGATGGTGTAAAAAGTTGAGCATGATTAGAGTTTGTTTGTTCGGTCAAATCGTTCATGAAAATGTGCCATTTTGGACCCCCGAGCCTTAGTACAATGCATGCAAGTTATGACCCAAGTATTAGCCCTTATAGTCATCATTTATTATGATAAACATTCGGCCATTATCATAAGTTTAAGAATTTTTAGTTGATTCGATGAGTTAGAGTTCGTAGATGCCATATAGGCCATCCCGAGCCACATGCATAATATCCCGAGTCATCCTATTGTTTTATGTGATATTCATGCTTTTTATATCATATTAAGATGTTATGTTATGCATGTCACCGGAAAAAGTCACCGGAGGTCCGGCAAGGGCCGGCCTTGGTCACTGGCCGCGCACGTAGTGCGGCAGTGCCCGGCCTAGTGCTTGTCAATGCCCGCGCCCAGCTGGTGCGAGGCACATCAGCCCTCAGTGCACGCGACAGCGCCCAGCAGCGTCTGTCCGTGTCCGCGTGCGAGGTCTTGGTGCCAGTAGCGCCCAGCACCCTCCGACAGCGCCCGGCAGCACTGTCTACGCCCATGCACGCGTGGTCTCGAGCCAGCCGCTCTTACCCCGTGTAGAGTAAGCCCGAGTAGCCCCAGCCGCGTGGCAATGGCACCCAACGTGCCTAGGCCACATGCATGGTGCCCGGCAGCACCGTGCCATGCCCAGTGACGACCCAAGCCGGGTCTGTTGAGCCCAGTAGGCCTCGGTGCGTGCCCCAGCAACACGCCCGAGTGCCCAGTGACCTCGGGGAAACCGGCCAGCGCACGTGTGGCCTCTGTCCGCGCCTAACCCGCGTGATGAAGTATCGTGTGTTTTCCCAACTCGATTGTCTCGAACCAAGCTTTGCCACGGCTTGTCCTTCGACGATAGGTGTGGACGACTCGGTTATTAGCCTTATCTTCTCACGATTTTGAGATGGTTCGGGTCTTAGCCTAGCCAACTCGATTTGTATGATAAAACTCTCACGAATTCTAAACACACGGTTTTGTTCTCACGAACGATTTCCCATTACTTCTTAATCATAAATTTCGAATGATATGTGGGTGGTATTTATAGATACCAATTAGATCTAATCCTAGTCTAAGAAGAACTCCTAATGGAAGTAAACAAATAAAGTCCTAAGGAAAGTAAATAAAGACTTTCTTAAACTACTTAGGCACATGCCTTTTATCCCCAATCCTAACCAAACTATTATTCCTAAACTACTAAGGGAAATCGGCCTTTAGGCCTTCTAGAAGGATCGCGCGCCCTCGCGCGACTCAACCCTAGCCGTCATGGCTAATCCTTGTCCTTCGAGGTCACGGCCTCCTTCTGCGCCCCACGCGTTGCACGCATCTATTGCCTTGCGCCTCAAGTCTCGTGGATTCTCTTCAGTCGGCGCGCTATGCCTAATCCCTCGAGGACTCGCGCCAATCATCTCTCGCGCGTCTCGCGCGTTATCGCCAGCACTTCGCGTGGACCCCTTTACCTCGAGCGCGTGCCTGCACCTGCTCGACTTGGTGACCCTGTCGACCCTTCCCATTAGCGTACCCGCGCCCTCGCCATCACAGCCCTGCTCGACCAGCGCCTTGTGCGTGACTCCCGTCATCGCGTCCCGTTCGTACCCGCTTGTCGAGCCCCTCACATCGTTCCAACCCACTTTCGCACCCGCGCCACTG